CTTATATTTTATTGTTATTTTAATAATTTTAATTAACACCTCTAAGCTGCATTATTTTGATATTATTTTTGTTTACGTTTCCCAACCACAATTTACTTTTTATTATCCCTATATTATTATTATTTTATTATAGGCCATTAGGTCTTAATATTTAATTTATTTTTTCATATTTATATGAACAATGAAAAACAGTATTGTTTATAAATTAGATGAACACTATTTTTATATTAATACTTTACTAAATTGTTAAGGATGAAATTGAATTTTTATTTTTATGGTTTATAATAATGATTGTAATAAATTTTTGTTAACATTCAGATCAACTTGAAAAAAGATGTCCAGTAAATACTTCACTTTTATTTTTGCAAAGCATATCAGGAGTACTAGCTGGGTTCACTACTACTTTGATAACAAATCCCATGGACACAATACGTGCACGATTACAGGTAAGATATATTAAACAAAACTTTTAAGTTTAATTCTAAGGGCTGTTCTTACAATGTCTGGTTAAAGTTAACAGACACTTAACCTGCAAAATTCTGCCTGTAAAAATTGCATTAACCGCTAACTGACTTCACTGGACATTGTAAGAACTGGCCTTAATGTGTGATGGTTAATGTTATTCAATTTGTTAAATTTAAACAATAATATTTTGTCATTTTTTAAAAATATCTCATACATTCAATCAAATAAATGGGGGACGAGGTGGCCAAGCGGTCTAACGCGTCAGCTGTGGCTCAGCCTGACCGGGTTCGATTCTCGACCATCAGGCGACTTTTTTCTCCGGGCAAGTCACAGTGTCCGGAGAACAAGTGCTGCCATCCCTCATTCTGGGGCCTTCGAGCCTACTCCCGGACATAGCGCCATACGAAAAAAAAATCAAATAAATCGTCATAAATAATTAAATTACAGTTTATAAACCAATTAGTCATTAAATTAATAGGTTAAGATCTAGGTTTAAAAAAAAATGCTGAGTGACTTTTTCTCAATATGTTTTATTCAGACATAACTTAACTAGTTATGGATTATAATTTCAGACTATGTTAGTATGTTCTGAGTAAATTAAAATGTTTGGTTTATTAATGCATTAAATCTTATTCCATTCAATTTTTTTAAGTTGCAATATAAATTCTTCTATAAACTATAGTAAAATTAATTATTAAATTAAATTTCATGTTAAATTAATTTAATAAAATTATTTTTATAGGTTCAAAGAACAAACTCTATTGTTGGTACATTTAACGCCTTATGGAAAGAAGAAGGCATGTTGATGTTCAGTAAAGGACTTTCTGCTAGATTGGTCCAGTCAATTTGTTTTAGTTTTACAATTATTTTAGGTTATGAAAGCATCAAAAGAGTTAGTGTACTTCACGAATACAAAGATCATGTACGATGGTAATTTTGTGTCCATCAACATTTTTTGTTGGAAAAATTTTGTTTTTAGAAAATTTTAATTTTTGAAAGAGCACATGTTACAAAAAATAAGGGTACACCGACTGCCGTATAACTTGGTTGTCTCRTCTACTGAAATATTCCAAGACCTAATTGGTAGGATCTTCCATATTATTTTAACTACCTCRGTTTTTAAATTTAAAATAAAAGTTTAGTAATTAAAATCAAAATTCAAAATTATTAATTCAATATTACATCTATACACCATATTATCGGGTTATATGTGAATTTAGAAATRTTTATCTGTTAATAACTCAGACGAGTATTACAAGTAGATTTTGAGAAATAATTGGATAGTCTAGATAACTTGGAAGTACCAAAATAAATTGATTTAAGTTTATAGTATGTTATATATTATTGAGACAATGTATATAGACACCACCGTTTTATTTTAATTATTTGAATAGGCATAAGAAATTAAAAATATCTATGTGATCCCATGACAGCCTATTATAAGTGTGATCGCTTCACACAGTGATCAATACAACTTCAAACAT